CTTTCCCAAGGACACAACGTCGGGCCCCTGACGGGATTCGAACCCACGACCTTACGGTTGCGAGTCCGAGAGCCTAACCACTAGGCCACCGACGCCACGAATAGGTCTAGATCTACATTTCTTATTTCCGCCTTGGGTTCATTGACCTCTTGATCATGTATATAGCCCCGTACCGAGGACACATGTCACTATGACAGCGGTGTAGCGTAGAACAACATACTGGACGTGTCTTTTCCGAAGTGAGTGGACACAGAAGACCGAAACGACCAGACCGATTTTCCTCCTCCGTACAAAAAAATCGGGTCGTGTCCATTGCAATGGACACGAAGGCTTACGCGGGTGTTATTGTTTGGTTTGATTGGAGTTGTGTGATAAAATATTGTGGTGGCCGCTGCCGCGTTGGACAGGTGACTGTTTTACAAAGTCAAATTATATACATGTGTATATATATATATATATAACACACAATAACATACACACACAAACACGCTACACACACACACACACACACACACACACACACACACACACACACACATACACACATACAAGTTCCCGCTCAACAGCAGGCTCTATGCGCTTTGCAATCTACATGTATATTATTTACTCAGCAGACCCGATAACATTCTGAAACAACCTCAACTTCTTTGGAAGCGTACACTGCAAGCTGCTATATTTTATAGGCGCTAAAACACTATCATACTAAATGTTTTCGCGTTCTGAAGCCAGGTACTCATTCCCACCTGGGTGAAGTGAGGAAAATTCGTGTAAAGTAGCCTACCTGACTCAAGAACACAACACCAGCAGCACTGAGGCTCGAACCTCACGATTACGAGCCTGGTAGCCTAATCACTAGGCTATATATTGATTATTTTTGTTTATACATAAATGCAGTCGGTATATAGATATGCAGGTGATAATATAAGGAGGTTACAGTACTAGTTTTAAGCTCCTTGGCCTACCGTCAGATAAGGCGGAGAGCAGTCGACGCCATGCATGTCTGTCCCTGACCACGTCCTCCCATTTCGGCACATCACACACCTGGGTGATGGCCTCGTCTCTTATTGTGCCTCTACATGTATATCCTCCACTTGGTCTTCCTCGCTTTCTCCTTTCAGTAGGTTTCCAATGCCATGTCTGATAGGGCAATCTCGTCTTCGGCATTCGTTGCGTCATTTGGTGGTAGGAATTAAGATGGCTTTTTCAATACCCGAGTCCACTTGTAGTATCTTTGTTAGAAGTTATCTACTTTTCATTCTTCTCTATAACGTTTGTTGGGGTCTCTAGCATCTCCGCCCCTTATTGCAAAACGACCCTTTGGGTATCGGGGAGAAAAAAAACGAGAAAGATTGTGAAG